TGTGATCTCTCGATGCAGAACTCATAACATAGTTTACTCTTTGAGAGGGGTTGTTTATGATGGCTCATATTTCACGGCACTTGACTCGACTTTTGACTGGTCAACTCTTATGTGGCAGCCTTTTCTGTGAAAGGTAACTCTCATTGAGAGCATCAGTGTCATGGCTACAAGCTTTCCAAGTAAAGAAGGTGTCCGGCTAACTTATAAATCATACTTCACTAGTTAAACCTCCCGACGTGAGACTCATAACAGAATCATAGAGTCAACTTTAAAGCTGTTGTCCAAAAAAAAAAAAAAATCTAAAGAACAGTCAGAATCATTCGAAATCAGTGACTACATTACGATGTAAAAAAACCGAAAAGCATTTTTTTATTTTTAAAAGACAATCTGGTAATTAACAGTTTTAATTCAATTGTTTTCCTATTTCCAGCTGTGTAGTGTCAATTTGACAGACCAATCCCAGAAGTGATAAACCGCAAACCCAGCTTTTTATTTACCTATTTTTAGCTAAATATTTCAAGTTTTGAACTAAACTGAACTAATTAACCTGTGATGTGTATAAATCTAAACTAAAACTGAAATCTTAACTAAAAGTCAGTACTCTGAAATAAGAGGAAATAAAAAATAGAAAAACACAGACATGTCTTCAAACTTCAAACCTTAATATATATATATATATATATATATCCAGAAACAAAGAAAAAATTCAAATTAAAAAAATAAATTAAAGAAACGTGCTTTCCACAACGTTGTTATCTTCGTAGCCAATTTCTAGCTTCCTTTGATCATTTGTGCCATTTCATTCATCTTCCTCAATTTCAAGCTTCATAGAATAATCTAATGGCACCACCATCAACGGCGATGCCTGAAGATTCACCGGCCGATACTAACTCCATCACCTCCTCGACCACGGCGGACAGAGATTCTGTAACAGTCCGGCCGTCGATCTCCTTACAACCAGCGAAAATCAAGCAACAGCAGACAAAATCCCACAAACTATTCCGAAAGTTCCGATCAGTTTTTCGGTCATTCCCGATCATCACGCCGACGTCATGCAAGTTCCCAGTCTCGCTCGCCGGAGGCCAGGGCACGGACAAGTACATTCACGGAGGGATGAGAATCACCGGAACCCTATTCGGACACCGGAAAGCTAGGGTTAATCTTGCTTTCCAAGAAAACCCTAAGTGCCTCCCATTTCTTCTTCTGGAACTCGCCATTCCGACGTCGAAGCTCATTCAGGACATGGGAACGGGGCTCATGAGGATCGCTTTAGAGTGCGAGAAGCACCCAAACGAGAAGACGAAGATCATCGACGAGCCGATATGGACATTATTCTGCAACGGGAAGAAGAATGGTTATGGTGTGAAGAGAGAGCCCAGCGAAGATGACCTGAACGTGATGCAGTTGCTTCATGCTGTGTCCACCGGCGTCGGTGTGCTGCCGGCGGAGATGGCGGACCCACAAGACGGCGATCTATCGTACATGAGGGCGAATTTCGAGCGAGTCATCGGATCAAAGGACTCAGAGACTTATTACATGATGATGCCGGAGGGGAACCATGGTCCTGAGCTGAGTGTGTTCTTTGTGAGGATTTGATTGGAAACTGAAAAAATGGGACAGAAAATGATGGTGTGATTGAATTTGATGGGTCAATATTGAAGGGAAGAAAATTGTTAGATAGATCATAGATTAGAGTTGCAAAACAATCGTTGTAGAGCAAGAACGTTGGATTTCAAGTGAAAATTATGTTTATTTTATATTCCTTCCATTAAAAAATATAAAATATTTTTAACTGAATTTCACGTCTTAATAAAATAGTTATTTACTTTTAAACTAATCTTATCTTTTCATATTTACCTCTATTAAACATCTTATAATAAATATAAAGTCATTATTAATAGGGACACTTTTGAAAAAAAGGTTATGATTATACTTCGAAAGATTAAAAAATGTCTTACATTTTTAAACATCCAATTCCTCAAAAAATACTTTATATTTTTGAACGAAAGAAGTATAATTTAGTCATCTTAATTATTTATAGACCATTTAAAAAAAAATTAGTATTTTTTTGAAAAAAAATTAGTTACTCCTTAAAAACATTTGGTATTTTTTACATAAAAATATCCATAATGTAGTTCTTCCTCATAAGGAAGGGAAAGTCACGCACAATCGCACGCAACATGTTTATATCAATGCTGGATTCAAAATTGAAACCTTATTTTTAAAAAAGAAAAGTGACATTCACTACAAAAAAAGAAAAATACTTTTAATAACAACAAAAAAAATCACCACCAAAAATTTGCTGCTAAAAGTTCTAGTAGTTAATTTTTATTGCTATAAGTTCGTTGCTAATGGGCTTTTTTTTTTTTTTTCTTTGCAGCAAACTTTGTTGCCAAGTTTTTTGTTGATAAAAGTTTACTTATTTATCTGCCGCCAAAAAATTTTTCTGTAAAAAAGTTTAAATAGTCATCCCATGACATCACCTGCCACGTGTATCAGCTCATGCACTTAACACCTCGTGCAGCTCTTGATGCAGTTCACGCTAAATCAAGCACTAGCTTGTACCATGTATACCAAAAAAATGTTAGTTTCATCTTTTTGTTATAAAAAGAAATCAAATATTGAAGATTTTAAGGATTTTTTATTTTTCTAATAAAAGTTAATCTAATTGATAAAATTCTACTACTAATATGAAAATATTTTTGTGACCTATGAGTATATCTTTAACGTGTGAGTGCTTTTTGAACCTTGGGGCATGCGCATAGCTTAGCCTGATATATCTGAATCTAATTCTCCTAAACTTTTTTTCATTAAAAAAAATATTTTCGTCTTGAACTTGTCTGGAGCATGCAATGGGTAGGATGGAATCAATTATAGGATCATTTCTCTCCATTGGCGCACATTTGTTCACGAGAAATTGGTTGGTCTAAATTTTATGTTTTTGTTTATTTATAACAAAAAATTTTAAAATATGAACCATCCACACCAAATCTGATAAGTTTTGATTTGAAAGTTGATTGATGTGAGGGCTCTCTCAATTAAAGGGATTCGAATCTGGATATATTTGATAATAATATTATTTTTTGTTAGCACAAGTTTTGCTAATTTTGGTCCCATATGTGATTATATTCCCTTCACTATTCTCATAACCTAAACCGGTGCCCTGATGCTTTCGAGAACTTTTCATTGATATCTGGGAGCATTTATTTATTATCAATTTACAAATAATTATTTTATAACCTTTTCATATATCAATTGAATTATAAATTTTATTATTAACATATTTAAATAACTAAAACATGTTTTAGTCTACCTGACTAGTCCAGTTAGACCAATGACTGCTCCATTTTAGCAAATCACAAAAAGCTTAACCAATGACAACTGCTTATCTCAAATTTATTTTATGATAAATTAGCAAATTACCCTTTTAATTTAATAGTATTATAGCCTTTAAACTTATTTATTGTGCAAATTGTCCCTTCAACTTTTAAAAATGATACAGTTAGTTGACTAAAAGAAAAACATCAAAAATTACAGCAAAGAAGCAAATTTTTTTGTATTTTTAATAATTTTTGGATCATTTATTATAATTTTTTATTTTTTTTATAATTTTTAAGTTTTTTTATATTATTTTTTGATTAATTAACAATTAAATTTATTTTTTTTAATTAACAGTAGTAGCTAACTTGCACTGTTTTTAAAAATTGAACAAACGATAATAAATAAGTTAAAGATACACAGTGTTAATGAACTTAAAGTTTAATGAATAATTTGTTTATTTATCTTTTATTTTATTATTGGTTAAGCTTTTTTTGTTATTTGTTGAAGCCAAGCGCTCATTGCTTTAACTCTACTACTAATTATCACTAGTTAAGCCTTCTGTCATTTGTTGAATTGAAGTAGTCATTGCTCATTCACTTCAAAATATTCTCAGGACACCGGAGTTCCTGTCAACGATACTTGATTGCCAAAGTTTTGATTACAGATAGTGGCGTGGGATTTTTTTTTTTTCATTTCTCAAATAAATTTATGTTAGTAAAGGACATAGAATTTTAAAATAATTAGTTCAATTAGTAGCTCTTTTCTGTCATTTGTCTATTTTAGGGAGATGGTTCTGTCATTCTTTCCTGAATATTAATTATCATTACATTCAAAAGTATACCTCTTGTCTGATGGCAAGCCAATATTATGCAATGTTTTCAAGATCATATCGCTAAACCAGTTAAAGTACTAATTCATAGTTCAAAAGTGATCATTGTTGAATCGATTTTACATAAAATAATAAAATTTAAAGAATATGTGGGATAATAAAAATATCATAAACCAATATTACCAATATCACCCACCCCCCACGCACGCACGCAAGAATAATATCAAAGAAAAATCAATTGAAAAAAAAAAACACAAAATAACAATTTTAGATTACAGGGAATTTCTTTTTTTTTAGTAGCAATTATTGGGAATTTCTTTAAAACAGTGAGTTTTAACCAGTCTTTCACTGATACTCACTAACTTCAACCAATTCTCAATTGGTTCACTTTTTTCCCCCCTAAGGTGTTCCAAACATGACATAAGGCTGGCTGCCAACGTTTGTGGTGAGAGGAATATTTATGGTTTATTATATATATTAACAGAATGATTGTAAAATATCAATTCTCAATATGGAATTAAAATTATACCCCAACTCCCCTAAACTTTTGTTTTTTTTAAAAAAAAAAAATCCCACCCAAAAATCCCTTCGGTGATTGAACTAATTTTGCAGACACTTCTTTCATTAATTGAATTCAATTGTTATTGTTATTACTACGCCTAAAAACCGTGATAGGCTTAAAGGTTATATATGCACACATGACCATATCCAAGGTCCCTTAATTCAAAATTTGAAATTAATAATGATAGTTGAGCTGAAACAATTTAAACCAACTTCGATCAATATTATTTCCTTCTTGATCATTTGGTTTGGTTTGGTGAGACGTGCAGCTGACAGAGAAAACAGCAAATTATGTTGAAAAGTGTCTGATTCTTAAACTTAATTTCCATCTGAATGGTAGATACATCAAAACCAATTGAAATGTTTTCATGCTGATAATGGGACAAGATATAAGTAAGAAAGTGAGATCATCAATTAGAAAACCAAAAGCAATATCACATTAAATATGTTCAACTTCAAAGACACTTCAGATGCTAGGACCAAAATTTGCTCATCAATCAATCCGCTGTCACTACACCAAGAAAAGAATGGAACCTGGATCAACATGCTAGCCCCCCTCAGCACTCTCATAGATCAAGGTGCGACCACAATCCGACCGGCTACTTGGTCCAGATCTCTCCGACCACTAGAAGTGATTTTTCTGCCACTGTTACACAAGGATACTTAAAATCCACAAGGCAATGTCGTAAAATGTTACAAAACTTGATAGCTTGACACCTTCAGAGGTTGGCTCAAGATAACAAGATAGAAGAGTGCCAAAAATAACCCCAAGAGTAAGAAAAGAAACAATGATTCACTAGAAAATGCTAAAGTTTTTTTTGTTGTTTTGGCCAACGGGTGTTGGAGACTCTGCTCAAAGGCGTGAATTTGATAGAAATGAAACTAATAGGATCTTGAAGTCGAAGTTCCTCTAAGGGACCAAAAATACCACTAATGCTTCCTAAAGTTAACCCAGAGTCTTACGAATGTTACAAGGACGTAATGAAATTGTAATTTTATTTTTTTTGGAATAAATGAAATTGTAATTTTAGGAAGCATTAACTTTGTGAAACCCCGAGTGGTAACTTTGGAAGGAAACAATGCTAGCTATGGTCCTTCTGAGCAATTTTAATTTTGAAGTCTTTTAATATCATTTTTGCTAAGTTTGGGTGCTTAAGGGGAATTTTCTTGAAATAATAACTTGTGCCATTTAGGTACATGTAAATGTAAATACTGTAATTTTTTAATATCAAGCGAACAAATAAAATATAAGAATATTTCAAAGGGCAATCATTGAAAAATGGATAATAACATTCTATAAACTATAATCAAACTAAAGTAGTAGCAATCAAATTTCCCAATATAATCTCAAAACTTGTACAATGGCATTAAAAGTAGGTCATAGTAGCAGATCTGAGGATGATATCAATATCATGCATGACCATAAACGGCACCTGTGTGTGATTAAAACACATGCAACTATTGTCAGCGCAAGAAAATGCAATGGAAAAGGGGAGGAACCTTTCAATACATCTACCATTAATGCGTTGCATATAGCAGGCTCATATCCCTAAGGACAGCGGTAAAAGAGTTCTTTCTTACCCGTTGGTTTCAGCCTCAATAATGTTCATGTTCTGCAACTGATGAAGAATATGACGAGCAATAGCACCACTGCTCTTACAAAAATGAGGAGGGCGGCTACCATTCCTCTTGCTCCCACCATAGATCCTTTGAAAAGCACCGACACCAAGGCCCCCTCTCAAGTAGATTTTTCTAGCCATGGAGGCTGCAATCAGCATTAAATTAAGCACAAAATGTTATTTCAACTAACAAAACCAAATGAAAAGGAAAAAAAATTAAGTGCATGTATCAGAATGTGCTTTGCACATTCCAACAGTCTTTAAAATGTGCAAAAATCACAGATATTTACTTACCAGCTCTAACATAGTACCAATCAGGATCATATGGAGCCAATTCTTTAAATCTTGCAGTCTTTACTATATCAGTCCACTCAGGAAGCTCCATCTGTTCAGAATCAAGAAGCAAGAAAAAAAGAGATTAAGTAAAGCAACTGATTTTGAACTCAGTGAATCAATAAAAGAAACCAAAGAGAGATATAATCGATGTCATCTCCAATAATTGAGAGTACCAATCAATAAACATGGGGAACAACCCAAAAAGCAGTAAACTATCTGATGTGGGCAAGCAAAACTAAATAGCTTGAGAACCCTTCATTTTTTGGCCCGTATCGTATTTTCTAATATATCATATCTAGTTTGCTACTAGTTGTGTCTCTGACACAAATTTCTATTCGTTCCCTTTACACACTCACAGATATGGGAAAACAGAACATAAATTGATATCACTTCATTCCCTCGTTGGCGTCTTCAGTCTGAAAAACATAGAATCAAAGTCAAACATTGGTATTCATTCACCATTACGCCAGTGTTTTATCAACTTAAGATGTGTTCTGGAAATCATATAGACTCCATGCCTACACACGACATATCTACAATCGAAAAAGGAGAATAATACAAAACAAGACGTTATACTGAACTTGCAATTGATTAATAAACACAGCACGCACATGTGCTAACCTTGAATCACAGTGTTCACAAATTTGTTTACCATTTCCAACAAAATCTATATAACGTAAAAACTTGAAAAAAAAAATGCACCATATTGAGGCATTATTTAGTACAGCACGGCGTCGATCATAACAGTACCGCATTGAACAAAAACCCAAAGAAAGCACGTGAAAAAGATCAAATCAGAAGATCTCAAAACACGCTTGAGAAACACTGCATAAAACATACGTATAATTAAACTGCCACTAGCGAGACACATTACATTCAGCAAAGTGAAATTTTCCTCCCACAATACCACCCCTGCTTTCCCGAGAAACAGGCAAAAGATAATCGAAAAAAAAAATCCGTGAATTCATCTACCTTGCCGGATCTCTTGAGGTGAGCCGCGTAGGCCTTGACGAACTCGTGAGGCGAAACATCCTTGACAGTCTTCGCAGTAGCCATGGTTGAGGCAGAGAGAACCGGCGAAGATGGGAAGCTGCTACAGAGAGAAGCGAATGTTGCTGTTGAATAGATGCTTATCTACCCCAATTAGGGTTTCTAGGTCGAGCAATTTAATTTTACAAGCTTCTCAACGACATCGTTTTGGATATATAAACATATGGGCTACATTGGACCGGGCCAACACATGCGAGCCTTAGTTGTTTTCTGTGGCTAGTCTTTGTTTAGATCGTTTATGGACTGGCCCATCACACGATGGCCTAAATTGAACTAGTTTTTGGTTTGAACTGGTCACACATGGTTCTTTTGGCCCAAAAAAGGGTCGCGCATGTGTCTTTTTTTTCTTTTTTTTTTTAAGAATAAATTGGTATACTGGTGTGATTTGTTCATATGTTTATGTATATTGAAAGAAAATGATTGAGATCTTAAACGATTAGGGTATCCATAAAAATTTATATATTCAAATTATGGAATTTGTTCAAATTTAAATCCAAATTCAACATCCAACTAATCCAAACATAAGGTATTTTTGGAAATTTGAATGCTTATCGACGAAATATAACATTTTCTTCACTGGCTACGTAACTTAACAGGTGTAGAAAGCTCACACACACACACACACACACACATTTTTTAAAAAAATTATTTCAAACTTTCTGCACCGGGTTTATGTATAATCGGTGTAAGAAATACACCTGGTTTATGTATAATTAGTGTAAGATATAGACAACTGGAAGTATACAAAAAATATACATGTATATGATACAATGTACATGTTATAACGATGAGATAATATACTTCAAATCCATATATTTTAACTGTTTTTTGTTTTAATTCTAGTAGTTTACTTGTTTCATCCAAAATGCAATGTTTTTAAAGCCGGATTGAATTGAATGATTGGACGATCCGGCCATTGACTAGTAGGAGACACGGATTGGTTTTTTACTTTAAACTGTTCGAGTGATTGAGCTAAATTGGACCAATGCAGACTGGATTTTAAACCAAAAACTGTTCAAGAACCAAAAACCAGGGGCAGCTAAAGGAAAGCCGGCCAGGTTTGAGACAGGAGGAAAACCAAAATGATATTGTGAAAAAAATCAAAAACTTTAAGCTAAAACCCAAGAGCAAAATGGAAGAGGAAGGTCAATAATCTTTGTACGTGGGCTCAATATGTGGTTATGAAAGTGAAAGATGAAGGAGAAAACAAAAGCACAGTATGCAGAGATGAAGAAATAATAACTAAATTAACTAAAAAACATCAGGTACTCTCTCCATTTAAAAGTATAAAGCATTTTTTGAAGAGTTAGGTGTTTAAAAATATAAGACATTTTTAGTCTTTTGAGGTGTAATTATTACTTTTTTTTTCAAAAGTGCCCCTATTAATTATGACTTTATATTTATTGTAGGGTATTTAATAGGGATAAATATGAAAATATAGGATTAGTTAAAAAGTAGTTAATTACTTTATTGGGTGATGGAATTTAATTAAAATGCCTTATATTTTTGAATGGAGGGAGTAAAATAATAGCATTTCTTCCTTTCTGATTTCATGCCACTAAAGTTACAATTGGTTACAAAAAATTAATGGAATAAAATGGATTAAAAAAATTAACACAAAAATGAATTAAATTACGTTTCCTTCTAGTGATAAGTACAATAAAACTCAATAATATATGCTATAAATGTAAGAATCATTATAGCCTCCAAAAATATCATAAATAATGACTTTCAACCTTATAAACTAAATTACTCATTTCTTTTATGAACGTGGTTCATTATTTCTTTTGATCATCTCAATTTTATCTTTATTTTTTAATCTTTTATGAATCATTATTCCTTTTGTTTTCGATCCTGTGTGCTTCTTGTTGCTGGAATGGGAAAATGAAAGTGAAAAATGCAAATTTGATTATTTTGAACCAGAAAGAAAAAAGGAAGAAGAAAATTGCGTTGCTATGGTTCATTCACTTGATTTTTGTTTCTTTTTGCATGTAAAGTAATGTTATGAAAGCAGCAGCGGCTATTAAACTGATTGAACTATTAGTTTATGATTCATTAGTCGGATTGTAGTTTGAATCATGATCCAACTGTTCATAAATAAATTAAGATATTTTAAATATTATATGTTTAATGTATAAAAAATAATCATATATAGTAAAACAAATGAATATTTAATTTTCAAACATAATAATATACAATAAAAAAAGATATTATCTATCAATATTACATCATTTTCATCCAAAATATATATAATTATTTCATAGTTTATAATTTATTACTCTAAAATATATGTATATATACATAATTTATACATATTTCTTGTATTTTTTTCATTTCATAATACTTATAAGATATAAATATGTATAAATTATAATTTAAAAATATGAATTAAAAATAAAAAATAAAAAAGTAACATGTTCGATTTAATCGATTCGTTGCCGGTTTTGGTCGGTGCCAGAGCGACTGGATTGGTTTCCAGGTGGTTTGTGAAATGAGCAATTTTTTGTTACAATCTGATTGGATCAACAATCAATTTTTGATTTAACTGTCAGATTCGCTGGTTCCATCAAGTTTTGATAACATTGATGTGGAGACATGAATGGTAAAGTTCATTCACTCCATCGGTTTCTGGCATACACAAAAGCCAAAAACATGCAATGTACCGATGGTTAATACTGAAACAGAGACTTGTAATAGAGACAAGACATGAGAAGACTTTTAATTTCTTTATTTTTCTGCACAATTTGTAACTTTATTTATTTATTATTGAAGTTAAATTAAAGTGAACTTTTAAATTTTGAAATGATAATTACCATACACATACATCCGTCTTCTGACCCATATTAAGATAGGCAATATAGATTCTTGCCTTCTCCTTTTATAAGCGTGTACTGTATATTAAAAATCACAATGAAAAACTAATAATATTTAATATAAAAAACCAAAAAAATAATAAATATAATCTAAAATTTATTCATGTTATTTTTAATATTTGTTACATGTATTATTGTCATGTAAGTTTGTTAACTCATATTTTATTTTATATATATATATATATATATAATTTTCTATTTAATTATTATATTAATAGTTCAATCATCAGTTTAACTGATTAAATTATAAAAATCATGACCCATTAACTTTTTTGATTCAATGCTTGGTTTGGTTTTTAAAACATTGCTGAGCATTGTCCTCATTATATTGTATAAGCTTCTTAGGAGCAAAGTTCAAGACAAATGTGCTCCTGTATATGGCCAACAGTTGGGCCAAATGGAAGAGCTTGCCTATAGGGCAAAAGATACATGAGAGAATTTAGACTAAGAGTGCGTTTGAGAGTTTAATATTGAATAGAAAGGAATGGTCATTAATGGAATGAAATGGAGAGGAGCAGACTATGGTAAAAATTTTTATTATTTGAGAGTTTTATGATAAGAAAAAATAATTTTACATGACTATTGTTTGAGAGTTATTATAAAATGGATATTAAAACTTTTTTTTTTCAATATTAGCCATATTGCCATATGACTAAATTTAAAAAATAATAATAATGCCCATTAAATTATTATAATATTTGTTCAACATAATAATAATAATAATAATAATAATAATAATAATAATTAATGATCAAACAAGATACCCAAGAATTAAGAGTAAAAAGAGAAAGCAAGTAACAGCTCTACTCAAACAAACATATGTATTGCACAAGAGGAAAACACAATAGAGTTGTACTACTGAAAGGCGAGAGAGAGATATGTGGGTATGTGAAAGAGAGAGAGAGAGATATGCTAGTCACCCAAGAGGGGTGAATTGGATGTCCTTTAATTTTTTGCTTAAAGCTCTTGACCACAGAAACTTAAAATATGAGTGATGAGAGGATAAAATAATGTACATGAAGATGAGAGAGATAAAGAACAATACACATAAAATTTATTCTAGTTTAACTCAATCCACTTGGCCTATGTCTAGTCCCCAAAAAGCTCATGAGATTTTTCACTATAACCATAAGTTCGATCCGAGCACTTGTGAAGCCACAGTACAATCTTAGACTTAATGTCTATAACACTCTCCATTACAAAAAATCTAACAAGTTCGATCCGAACACTTTGAAGCCACTTACAATCTCTTAGACTTACAAGTCTATTTTCTCCCCCTTATAGAGGTAATTTTAGCACCCACTTAAAACTCCTTGATCTTAAGTCTGTTCAGATAAGTAATAGAAAAATTTTGATCACAAAGTGATTTTGATACAAACTCACTCAGCTCATTGAGTAGATTAATACATTGAAGTACAATAATATTCGAGACAAATACAAAGAGTAATCGAAGGTATCAAATATCATAGCTTGTGCTACTCACTTCATCCTCTGCTCTTCATAGATGAGTCTTTTTATTGTTGAAGTTGATAAATGATCCATTAGACTCATTAAAATAGCTATTGGAGTAGTCGTCTTCTCTCCTTAGCGTCTTGCAAAGTGTCCGTTAGACACAATCAATTTTTTATTGTTGTTCGATCTTTAACATTGTAGTTGTAAGTGTAGCTTTATAGCTTTACAACGGTATTGCTACCCGAAAAAGGATAGTAGGAATTGGTAGCTTTTCATATGGGTTTACATGTTGGAGCTAAAAGCCAATATCATGGTATTTACACATTTAATGCCTTGACAAAAGTAGGTGAAGGTTTATACTGGTGTAGCATTTTAGCACAGGTGGTGTAAATCAAGAATGAATCACAAAGAGTTTGATCCAAATAATAATTGTATTTAGATAGATTCTAAGAAGGTTATTAAGTGAACACAATTGATTGTAGATGAAAAGAATAGCTAGGAAATGACTTTTGAAGAGTTTAGGATCGAGAATGAAAAATAGAGCATGAAAAACTAATTTAATACTGGTGCTATTTGTAATAGTGCCAGTGTTGTGATGAGAAATAATGACAGCACAGTGAAAATAACACAGGTGTTACTTTGATAGTACCAGTATAAGGCTATTCATAAAAGATGATGACATTTTTCATCTTATGGGAATAAAGTAGTTATTTCAAATGAGGATTTATAGCATAGGTGTAAACAAAAAGTATCAATGTTAATGTAACTT